TTATTTATCATTTTTCTTTCTCATCAAAAAATTTTTCAATCAAAAAAAAAATATGTCGAATGATTTAATTTAATTGAATAATTTGAGAAAAATTTTTAAAAATTTTTTTTATTGAAAAGAAAATTATAAAAAAAGGATTGTAATTATTTAAAAGAATAATTTTTTATTTTCAAAAATGAAATAATATGAAATAAAATTAAAATAAAATAATAATAAAAAATAATTATAATTTATTATGAAGAATATACAATACAGTAATAGGCAAATAATGAAATATGGAAAATTCTCAGTTCTCTGATTTTTATGCACAAATTTTGAGGCTCAATTTTTACCAGAAAATAAATCTATACAGTAATAAAAAAAAATCCGAATGGTAGTAAGGATTTATACCTGAAATTCTACTTTGTCAAAATGATTTCGTGGCGAAATTTTTCTGATAAGCTAAAAAAAAATTATTGAATTAGATGCTTTTGTCCAAAGGTTATGAAAGCCAATTTTTAATAAAAATCACAATATTATGATATGATATTATGATAATATCACAATATTTTTAGATAACTGGTGAAAAATTCAAGAAAACTGTATTGCTTTATAAAAAATAATAAAATAAATCTATGGTTTTTATGGTTCATCAAAATTAATTGCGAATTTTCTATGAAAAAATATTTTCCTTTTTTAAAAATAACTCATCATGATCTCATCAAAAATGTATAAAAATAAAAATATTTTAAAAAATTTTCAATTTCAAGTCACAAATCATTATTTTATTTGATTCATTAAGTGTTCACATTTCTTTTCTTTCGCGCATATTTCTTCTTTGGATTATGATTTATTTATTTATTTATTTAACGAAAATCAAGAAAAATATAAAGTCATGCATTTGAATTTATGATATTATGTAAAAAGCAAAGCCAATAGGAGAAAAGTTACTACAAAATACAAGTTGTATGCAACTTAAGCAACAACGAAAAGCATTAAAATATCAAATTATTCCATGTCAATATCATGAAATTAATATTTATATTTTTTCTTCTTCTTTTTACAGCTCTCACCATAACTGGCCAGGCTGGGTCCAACGGCTACAAGGGTAAGATGCTTCAAGCTGCACAATCAGATACTATCGTCGACAGTGACAAAAGCCATTCTTTTTTCCATCGTCTAAGTCCATATATTGCTGGTCCACCTATACGTTCAAAATCTTTTCTCATCGTATCAGTCCAGGCCTTGATTGGCCCATTTCGCCTTTGACGACAACCATCACACGATTTAGCAAATAACGAAATATGCGTCAATTCCTGTGGTGACACTGTTAATGCAAATGGTATTAATATACCATAATATTTTTGTTAATATAATTAATTTGCTTCTTTACTCCAGCGGTGAGAATCTTAGCTTTGGCACTCTCAAAATTGAGCAATAACCCACTTAGTCATATAATTAATAATTATAATAATTATTAATAATTAATAATAATTAATATAATGAATTAATAAATTAATTAATTAATAACGAATAGTAATGAAACACTCGTCGGCACCTTCATTGCATTAAGGTTATCATGGGTTCTTTATGGTTTGTTGAGGTTCGATTGTGTTTTATTTGCTATGGCTTGATCCTTCCGCTTGGTTCCATAATTCTTATCGTTATATTTTTTATATATTATATATTTATGAAATTATTTTCTACTGCTTGCAATTTATATTTTAAATTATTATATACCAGCGAAAATTCATCCAATATAAAATTTTCCTAAAAAAAAAAAAAAAAAAAAAAAAAAAAAAAAAAAAAACTTTTATTTAGATCAATTTTTATAGGCTTATAGGTACCTTTATGGTGCAATAATCAAATTATTAGATTATCAAATAAAATTATTTAGTTTCTTCTTCTTTTTTTTTTCTTTCTTTTAAAATTATACATCAGAAACCAAGTATTCTAAAAGATTTTTCGTGAGCATTCCAAATGTTTTCTTCAATTCTATCAAATAGGTCAAATTATGTCGTTTGAACATTTTAAAATTTGTCAATCTATTTGATTTTCTTAGAAAAAATATCGAAATGCTTTACGACTATCCTTTACTAATTGTCACAGAACTAATTATCTAATTCCTCAAGCAATATCCAATATCGTTGCGGCTCAACTGGCTTATCAACTGGCGCATTTGGCAATTCGACTGATCTTCATGCCATTGTTGATTCGATCGGAAGTTGTGGAACTTCGATATTTTTCTCCTATTTCTTTAAAAAAAAAACACTAAAACCTAAATTCAAAAAAAAAATCTAAATTAAACTACTATATTATAACCATTCAATTTTTACAACCAACCACTTATTGAATTTGATTTTTGGATAAATTTAATAATAAAATTATTAAATTTAAAATTATTATTTATTATAATTTTTATTATATTTTATATATATTAAATTAATTATTTAATTATTATTATTATAGTTATTTATATTATTTATATAATAAAATAAATTTATTTATATGATTATTTTATATAAATTTTGTTTTATATTATTTAATATTATTATTTTTAAGTTAAATTAATTCAATAATAAATAAAAAATAAAAAATTTTATTTAAAGAATTTTTTAAAACACAGTTTTTTAATTTTCAAGTTGGTTCTTAACACGAAAACATGTTTACTATATATTTGGTGTTGTATATATGAATATTGTTGATGCGGTTAGGGTTTTTTTGCGGGCATGCTTCTTCGGTATAAATAAATGAGCAGAAGTCAAGCACCACTTAAATTTTCAATGGTACTTTGGTCCAGAGGTGCGGTTCAAATTTGATGGTCGCGACGCGAATCTACAGGAAAAAGAAAGAATATTATAAATGGTATTAAGATTTTGGATGATTCGGATAGAATAGTCTTTCGATAGCATTTTAAATTAATAGTCTAGCATTTTTTTTTTGGAGACACGATAACCGAGTTGTTTTTTATCTTAAATTATTCTCTTTAGCCTTACATTCTAAGGCTTGAGACAAAAATTTTTAAATATGTTAATGATCGGACTCATATTTACTTAAATTTTCTTTCCTTGTCGAACGAGACAAATCTTACTATTATTAATCGAGGGAATCATATGTGGTCATAGAAATAGAATTGGGTTAATAGTACCACATGAATTTTTGAAAGATAGGTTTCTTATCGAGAATGGAACTATAGCATCGACATGAAATTGAAATGCACTAAGCCATAAAATTGCAGGTGTTTTGATGTAATGTCTAATCGATTACCTTATTATCGCTATCGGCAATTTTCACGTATATTAGCAATATTATTATTAAATTTTATTGTAATTTTATGCATTGCAAAATTACGTAAAGCATTGACGACTATTGCTGGAATGGAAACAATTTTTCCAGAGAATTTATTTAATAATTCACTTTCATCGTCTTTTTCTCCATTTTTATATAATAAATGGCGTTTGAAACGTGCAAATCGAATAATCGTTAATGCAAAACGGTTTTCTACTTTTCCAGTAAGTAAATTTTTCTTTAAACTCACCTTTTAGCATCACAAATTTGGCTTTTTTGACCACAAAGTTTCTAAGCTATTCGATTCGATGCCATTGTTAATAGAAGCCATTCCTTTTTCCACCGTCTAAATCCATATATTGCTGGTACTCCTTCTATGTTCAAAATCTTTCCCGTATTATTCTAGGATCACCTCGCTTTTGACGCCATCACAGGCTTGAATAAATGACGAATTATGTGGTGAGTGATGAAGAACGTGCCTGAACGTGATGGTACTGATAATTCAAGTGGATATCTGATCGAAGATAAATGCAGTCATGTGAGATTTTTATCCCCGTTCGACCTATTCGACGTATATGTATTTCGACGTACTCATAAAATATAGTTTAGACATGATATGTATGGTCAGAGGCAGATAGCTTCTTCCACATTCATTGGCCATGTTTCGCAACCATATAGCAAGACCAAACGAATTATATAGATGTACCTATGTAGATTATGCACCTATATAGATGCGGTCTTTCGTTTTTATGGTGATTTCGGGAGGCTCCATAAAGATTTCGTCAACGGAAAAAACGTTTATAAATGTCGTTATTCGGGTTTCAATTTCATCATTTGCCTGGCCATTTTGAGTACTTCCAAGATATTTATAATTTCTTCCTTCAACAGGCAAAGAACTGATAAAAGTAGGTATTTTATCAGCATATATTTAAGATTTTCGTTTTATTTACATTGATTCTGAGTTCGTCTTTCACTGTAGTTGTCGAAACATAGTTTAGCATTATTTGCATTTCGTCATAACTATGAAAAAAAAGAACTATATCATCAGCATATTCTAGGTATGTGGTATTATGCTCTGGACTGATTTCTCTACACCTCTCGAGTGCCAATAAGCGATCTCCATTATCCATCGTATAGTTGAATGCTGTTGTGGAAAGAATGCTTCTTAAGAGACTAGTTCTTATTTCGAAGAAGGAGTCTGCCACAGCTTTTTATGAGTCGAATGATCTTCTCTAAAACATCGTCGCTTCCAGATACTCCAAAACGCCGTTTTATCAATTGAATCGCAGGCATCTGTAAAGTCGATTAAATATATGATGGTAGGTTGTAGTATTTGAAGCGATTCCACCTTTCTTAACGTAAATATCTGGCCAGTACAACCGATTTTGTCAACTGATAAGGTTGAGTTATCAATAAGATTTTTTAATTTTTAAAAGAACAAAATGTATATCGGTTGTGGTGATCGAGTGAAACCGTGTCCCGATCTAAATCCATCGGTTAAGGTTGTTTTATATGCCATAAGTTTAAATCTGTTCGGCAGAAGGGAAACGAAAATTTTCCCTGATATGTCTATTGGATTGTAAATTTTATAATAAATAACAAATTTTTTTTTTATTATTATTAATTATTATTGTTATTTATTATTAATTATCATTGTTATCGTTATTCATTTAATAATGAAGAGAGTAATAATTAATATTTTGCAGACAAAACTAAACAGTGATCTTAACATTATGATAGTTTCATCCAATCGTGAAGGAAAATTTTTAACTCAAGTATCGGCAGGGATTCTTGAAGCATTAAATAAAACAGAAGAAGAGCATTGCAACATTTCAATAACGATTTGTGAGGTTTCGGGTCGAAATGATAGTGAAATTTTGCAATTATCATCACTGGTTTAATTAGTTCTTTGTAATTTTAATTCAACAAATTTTTATGCAAAAACTTATATTTTAGAAAGTTAGAAATAGAAAAAAAAAATCACGATAATAGAATTTGGTCACACGAAATTTCATGAAAATTTCTCAGAAAATTTATTTTTAATATTCATTTTCATTAAATATTTTGATTTAATTAACTCGAATTATTTAATACAAATATTTAATATCATTTTCAGTTTCGAGTAATTAGAATTTCTCAATCTTCAATAAATACTACTATTGCTGCTGTTGCTGCTTTTGGTTATAACGAAAGAATAAAGAAAGAAACTTCTGATTATTGGCTTTGTTTGAATAGTTCTTATCATCAGTCGTCTTTTGCGTAAATTTTTATAAATATTCTTTCTAAATAGTTCCATTTTTCAATTGGTCAGCTGAACTTATTTTTAGAAAAGAGTGGGAGAGTTATGCGATAACCAAAGATTAAATTCGAATCATATATGAATTTAGTGAGTTAAAATGTGCCGTCAGCCATTGGATTTTACTTTTAATAATAGGTTTATTTTTGACAAAAAAAACTGGAAATTTTTTCAAGATTTCAAGTGAATAGAATAAAGTTATTTCTTGGTTTTATATATTTTCTACTTTCCAGATTTTCCACTGCGCACTTTTAACTAGAAACGATTCAATTGCAGAAGGTACACGTTGCTGTTAGAAGATGATGCTATTCCGATTGTGAATTTTTTCTCTTTACTTCGAACAGTTTTACATCAAATGGACGATAAACCACATATCGATTATGTTAAATTATTTCATCCCATTAATCTGCGCAAAATCCCTTATTATTTTCAGGTTATTTATTATTTTATTATTTCTTTCATTTTTCATCATATCTGTAAAAAATAGATTATTAATAAATTATTGTTCGGAAACAGTAGGATGATGCTCACCACGCTTTAATTATATTAAATAACCTTGATCAGGCTGTTTTCTCGGTAAAATAAACACTGATCACCGCACGTGTTAATAAAAATTAATTAAAATGAAATTAATAAAATTTAATGTAATTTTTATTAATAAAATAAAGTTAAATTTAATAAAATTAATAAAATTTCAATAAAATTAATATTAATAAAATTTTTATTCGCCACCTCAAACGTTGGTAATTAAACTGATTAATATGTAGTCAGTCAGAAAAAACAAGATGTGATTAAACCAAATAGATTAAAGGGCAAAACAAAAGAAAAGAATAAAGGGTTAAGATGTGATTAAACCAAATAGATTAAAGGACAAAACAAAAGAAAAGAATAAAGGGTTAAGAGACACATTAATAAATGAATATTTTGAATATTAATGTTAATATTAAAATACTGGAATCCAACCGCTTGGGTTTCTTAATGGCACGTAAAAAGGGGCAAAAGAAAAATTTTTATAAGAAGAGTATACAACATATACTGTAAATTGTCCTTATGTTTTATTGACATATAAAATGCAATAACCAAAGAATCGGTTAAATTATAAAAGTTTTCTTTGGCGAGTCGAGGTCACGGATTTGAAATAATGATTTTAGAAAAGACATCGCATTTCGCGTCAGTATCTTTTTTGTATAACTGCTATGGATTACATATTCTCTTATCATTTAAAGAGTTATCACATAGGACGAAATATTTGATATAAATGAAGTATTCAAGTGTATTGTTTGTAAGCTTAAGACCAGGCAATTTCTTTCGTCTTAATAGGGATAAATTTGCCATTATAGTTGCCATTATAGTTGATTGCATTGTGACTCAATTTCATATTTACTCTGAAGGGAAAAAATAATGGAGTAATCAAATTGCAAACAACGCTTATAATTCGAAGGAGATGAATAAATAATTCATCGATAAATTTTTAAATTTTGATTAGTTCCCTTAAAAATTTACTTGCAAATTTTTGAAGAGCGATACTACATTAATATTTAAAATCAACTAATGAAATCTTTAAATCAACAGAAATTTTTTTCAGATTTCTTTAACATCTTTGCTAATATCGTTTTCGACGAATTATTTTGTATGGCGAAGTTTTAATATATTTTCTTCAGCGCTTACTTTTATTTTTTTCATATATCATATTAATAAATATTATACATTTCAAGTTAGTTTTAATGTTCATTTTCAAAATTGATCGAAATTTTTGTGGATATTCAAAACGATTTTTAAATTTTGGTTACTATGGATTCAGCCATTAGAATAAAATTTAAAATATCACCATAGTATGGACACTATTTGATAATATTTCTAATAACATTTTTTATAGATATTCGTCGACATTCGTTTTGCAATCACAGGATCAGTTTATTTGACTGAATCGGAGTCATGCTGTACACCAGCCGTTGTATATCGTAATTCAAGAATACCAGATATGATTAGCTATTTTATCAAAAATAGAGATAAAAATGAAGCAAAGGATACAATCCTTGATAATTCACCATTTAAATCTAGAATGTCAGATACAAATCTTGTTATTCATATTGGTTTTATCAGTGCTATCGGAAAGAATATTATCAATCTTGATGCGTTCAAGCAACTCCAGCAGAAGTCATCAAACCACTATTTCCCTTTGTAATAGCAATGCTTATTTGTTTTATTTATTTATTTTATTTTTACTTCGTATAACATTCAATACCTTTGGTGAACTCCCACTAAAGAAAGGCTACTTCTCTCAAGCTAGCTCCAGTTATTTTAAATTCAATTTTTTCTTTTATTTTCACATTTTTTGCGAAATATTTTTTATAATATTATTTTTTTCACCACTTCTGATCGATTCAAATCAGAAATATTTATTTAAAGTTTATGTTTATTTAAAACTATAGGCTTTGTATATATTGTATGAAAAATTGTTTATTGTTATATGAAATAACTTTTATTATTAAAATGATTATCACATATTAAATAAAATTTTACTAATAAAAAATTTTTGTCCCGTAAAAGCTATTATTTTTTTTATCAGATTACATATATTTCTAATTGATTTAATGATTTAGCAAGCAAATTTTTGAATTTAGCTAAGAAAAGAACTGCAATGGAAAATTTAATATATTAATTTTTTTTTAGCCATCTTGGTCTTTCATCAAACACGAAAAGTATTGGAGTACAGCAAAGCTCTAATGAAGATCTATAAAAAACTTTAAAAATTAAAAAAAAAAAAAACAAGCAAATACGATTAAAAACAGTAACAATACAAATGATAAAGAGGAGGACCATATCAAAACTTCTAAAACGACAAATACCATAAAATCAAAGATTCCTGGAAAAAAGCTATAGAAAAGCTAGAGTGCTCAATGACCGCTAAGTCAGATCGAGATGTAGGATAATATTAATTTATATTAAAAGTAAATTAAAAATCCATAGTTTCAATAATCATTTTACCACAAAATTTAAGGTTTTTGGCAAGGGATATTATTTATCGCTAGCAAAAAATGCATTTTAATGGCAAATAAATTAGATTTTACCAAAACCAGCCTTTCTTTCCTTTTGTATCCTTCATTATACTATCGAAGAAAGCTTTAACATGCTTTTGAATTTCTTTTGACTCTGTTCGAGATAAAATTACAGCTTTTTCAGCATACTTTAATGCTTTTTCCCTAGAATTAATTAATTGATTGTATTCGATTATAAAAATTTTAATTTTAAGTGAATTAAAGCAAGGAAACATTTCTGTCAAATACTTTAACCTAAGTAATCTATCTTAATTCCTTTCTTCTAACATTTTGCATTTCTAGTTTTAACACGCTCTATTAATCTATTAATTATTAGTATGAGACATTTGCGTCACATAAAAGTATAATAGTAAAAGTATAAAAGTATAAAAGTATAATACAACGTGGATAAAATTCTTAAAATTTTTTATTATATTAAAATATTACTTTTAATTATAAGAGAAATATTACTTTTCTCCGCAGTGAAATAAAGCTTCCGCATAATTGCAAAAATATCCAGGCACCAATGAACTACATTCATTTATATATAATATCCGATCGATGCCTATTTCTAAAAATTTACGAGCCAACTCGAACCTGCAAATTAATCCTTATTTATTAATATTATTCTTATTAATAATATTCTTATTTATTAATAATCCTTATTTACTAATCCTTATAAATATTATAATTATAATTAAATAATTCAATTAATTCAATCGTTTATTATGAACTATATCGCATAAAATATCGCATCAAAAATAAAAAAAGGTGTAAATGTAAAAATATGGTGCAAGTAGAAACAAAGCTATGCGAAAAAAAGTGAAAAGACAGAAGAGATCCTGATGAAAATCATAAAAGAATTATAGAATAAAATATTTTTTTGCAAATGGATACGGAACTCACCTATTTTTGTTTATCAATACAGCACCAAAATTATTGAGCATGTTAACTGTATGAAACGAAGCTGGACCAAATATGTGATGAGATAACTTAAATTTGACAATTTGATAAAAGAAAAGAAAATCACTAAAATTAAATTGCTGCGATAGATTTTAAGAGCAAAATCTTACTCGAACAGCTTCATCCATGAAATTTTCAGCTTCTTTCAATCGAGATTCATCTCTATATTTAACCTTCAAAAATTAATAAAATTATGAATCTCAAATTTATCGTTCTGATAAGAAATTCGGTATTTTAAAATATTGATAAAATAGTTAATGATGTATGTGCATGGAAATGAATAAATTAAATAAAATATTAATAAAGCAAAGATTCAGACTAACAAGAAAATGAGCATACTGTTCAAGACACATTCCAAATAAAGAAAGAGGATCTGTATAAACAGTACCATGCTGTTCAACATTATTACGAAAATCAGTCTCAATTTCACCAGAGGAAGAATAATTTCTTACATGCTCTTCCACAATCTTCAAAAAATTTACTCTTTATTAATACTTCTTTCTTATATATCTAAGTTTCTTATATAAGCTTGGTTTAATAATCTTAATCTTCCACTCAAGGTCAAAATTGTGGAAATTGTGGAAAAGAAAAAGCAACCTTGTTTTGCGTAGAGGTGCAGAACTGATAACCAGTTTCAGCTTTATCGATTTCATTTTTTTGTGCATAAATATCAGACAGTTTAAGGCTTGCTGCAATGAATTCTGGATCCTTCTGATGCTTCCCATGCAATTCAACTAGTCTATAAAAAATATAATCAAATGAATTCAAATAATCTATTAATTATTAATAAATAATCAAAAAAAAGGTCTTTGGTTACAGTCACCTGAGAAATCAGAAATTATAAATTATTAAGCCTCATTATACCATTATTCTACTAAGTTTCTTTTATACTTCGACTTTCGCTGAAATTATCAATACACCAGTCAATACACCTTTATATAAGCTGCGATAGATTTTAAGAGCAAAATCTTACTCGAACAGCTTCATCCATGAAATTTTCAATATATAAGCATCATTATTTCACAATAATTTAGTCACCATCTCCCGAATTATGGTTATGAAGAAAGCAAAAAAGTATCCATTTATCGTCCAGCATTCGTTTTGGTAGTCAATGCTATATTACTTCACCAATGGCCACATCGTGCTGTTAATTCACAGCGCCTGATGGCTGGAATCTCCTAATTTCTCCTAACTCCTAACTTGCAAGTAATGACAGTGTTTTCTAATTGTTAAGACATTCCATCATTATCCAACAAATTTCGAAGATGTCGAAGATTTATAAATCAATGGTTTATAATCTCCTTGCTATTTGTATCTTTTAGCTTAAGATAATCGGAATGATGAGACATTTATTTGCATTTGTCAGATTCATGCAGATCTTAACTCGAACCATAATATGGCCTGAACTAAGAAGGTCGTTTCCAGAATTACGAAAGAAACAACTATTCTAATCCAGCATTTTCCCAACAATGACGAACCAGAATATGGCTAAAATGCTGGTTAAAGAATTCTATGATGCTTTTTTTTGATGCCGGAAGCATACACTGGTGATAAAAAGTCAATGTTCCAGATCCTAATATCATATTTGTTAACCACAGAACCCATTGTGGTAGCATCGTGCCTTATGCATGCATTTCAATCTTTTCCGATTATGACCGTGTCACTTTTAGGAGTATCTGTTAGAAATAGAATAAATTATCACAGCCATAGCCACAGAAAGGAGCATATATATGAAATATATGACCGAATTTGGTCGAAATTCTTTTAAACGCAATATATGCCATCTGGTTGTTAGCATTCGACCATACAATCAGTGCTAACAGGACAGGTCTCATGCATGCCTTTCACAAACGACAATGACATTCCATTTACTGCTCGAAATAACTACTCGAAATTAGAAATGAACAAAAAGGATCGCAAACGCCATCCGCGTGATATGTGAATAGATTGTGAATGGTTACTTCCTCCTTTAATGTTCACAAGCATTTTGATAATCCACGCACCCAGGCCAAGGTTATTGAGGCTTGCCCATTTTCCTCAACTAGTTTTTTCTTTCTAGAGATTAAACTAGAATAGTTTCCTTATTTCTAGAGCTTTTACCATTGAAAATAAGTTTAATACTTAAATCTCAGTGAAAAATCACATTTAAAATTCACATTTAATTCGTCTTAACTTCTATTTTATTCTACCGATTACGTCATTATTTTTCCGTACAATGACGGGTTTCGGATTCGACTTATCATTAAAATTTCGACTTATTATTAAAATTAAAATATTTATAAAATACTATTGGAGAAAAAGATCACGAGAAATTATTGGTTTACTTCAATTTACTTTAGTAAATCATTGTTCCGAATTATCAGATACTGGTAAAAAAAATGTAAGAAAAAATTTTTAAACCTTTTAAGAAGAACACGGAATAGCGTCTCCGCATCTTTCAAATTGCCCATTTCATAGTAAGTATTTGCCAGTTCATCATAAATTCTGGTTATTGGTATACTTTGTTTTTTCTCTTCAGCTAATCCTAGCGCTTTATGCAATTCCTCAACTGCTTCATCGTAATGGCTTTTCTTGCGCAACAACCAGGCCTTAAAAAGTACCTAATGGTACGAGTGATAAAATTTTTATTTAAAAACAAATTAAGCAGGGGAAAGGTTTGCATGTGTTTGCATTATTAATATTATTAACAATAATATTATAAATATAATATAATATTAGTAAAAATAGAAAAATAGGAAAAAACTTAATGAGCCATCTCTGTATAGTATCACCCAGATTTGTTTTCTAAAAGCCCACTACTTTTGACTTGGATCAAAGAAATTTCATCAGGGAGTACGAGTGAATCGAACCGTTAGCATCACTCGAATTTTTGAAAAAAATTTGAAGAAAATTTATTTCTGCCTGGAGAGTGAAATTTAGTATCAAAGTTCCGAAATAACTCAATAAGCCCTTCCACTCATACCATCAGGACTTTGCTTTCAAATATTCGTGTCAATGGCGGAAATTAAACCACGGCACTAAAAACGATAATCCTAAAAAGCTTACCATATTAAGCTCTAATTTTACGTTGCTAATGCAAAACAAAATAACAAAAAATAAGAATATTATAATAAAATACAAGCCTTTTTTATTTGTACTTTAATTGGATCATCATCCAAACTTATTGGTTTTATACCGAAGAAGTCCTTTAAAGTTACAAGCCACGAAAGTCCCAGCAATGGTGATAAATCATAAGCGTAATTCCAACACCAAAATCGCCTTTGATTTTTCTTTTTCCATTCATAACTATGATATTTGATCATTCGTTGCAGTCGAAAAAATCTCCATTCATATCGTTCAAAAGATTTCCATAATGGTAATATAAATTTTAATAACATTTACAAATACTGAAAATTAAATAAATAAAGAATTAAAGTTATAATGAAAAAAAAATTGAAAAAATTCGCAATATTAATTAATCATATAAAAACCTTCGAAACAATTAAATAATGAGAAAAAAATATTCGTTGTTATAATCAAAATTTTTCAAGAGAAAAGCATTAAAATATAAAATAGACATTTTATTGAAATTAATATCTACATAATGATAAATAATTTTACAATAATCAAATAATTAATAATATTTCTGTAATGAAATTCTTGCTAGATTAAAAGAAAGAAAATCAAAAGACGATTTGCATTCACAACGTTCAAAGAAAATAGATAATAATCCTGAAAATAAAATAATAGTTATAATGAAAAATTCTATTGGAAAAGTCGAATCGTCCATGACAATTGCCAATTTTCAATTGGCGTTTCAGCATATAGAATTGTCTGTCTTTGAATTTAGTGTCGACGCATAATTCGCTAGCATGTGAATGAATGACATATTTCTATGACTGTGAAATAGCATGAAAATATGCCTTTTGCAGCGAATGAACGATTAAAAATTAATGGTTTTACAACATTGCCAAGTGAAAAAGGAGAAAAAAAAGCAGAATAAACCACTACTTACCATTTTCTGAGATGAATTCTACTCGAAAGAACTTTCTCGGTAGATATTACGACACGTAGCAATGACTGTAACAAATTTATATAACAAGCTTAACGTAAGAATAATATAAAAAATGTGGTTGTGGCTTTAAAATTTTCTTTAAAATTCAATAAGAATTTCCCGGACAATCCAAATAAACTGAAAGATAAAAATTATCAAAAATTGTTGATTTATTCAAATCATAAAGAATCCAAAGATTGATAAAAAATATTATAATTCTATAAAGAAAGAAAAAATAAAAAAAAAAAACTAAGAACAAAATTAAAGAAATAAGGAAACCAACAAAAATTCTTCTAAACGAAATCGAGATGATAAAATTAATCCATTTTCAAAGCAAATGATGATCCACATGAACAACCCTTATCTGCAATCGGATTAGCCGTAACACGAAAAGCGCTTTTCATTAGATCTTCGGTATAATCCACTGTTGCACCTTTCATATGCGTCAATGACATCTGAAAAACAGACTTGAAATATGATTAAAGTGTAAAATATTCTGTAGTAATCCATCAGTAATTATGGCTTAAAATTAATATCTATTTTTACCAGCTTTTAATTCTATTTATTCTTAAAGTAAATACCATGAAAATGACTTTAACATCCCAATGAAAGCTGATAAAAAGGGAAAAAACAAAAAATCACCTTATCAACGAGAATCTTTATACCATTCTTTTCAAAAACAAAATCATCATCGTTGATATTTTCATCAAGACTCATCTTATATTCAAACCCGGAACATCCTCCACCATCCACTAATATGCGTAGACATTGACCGTCCGCTGTGATAACTTTCAACCTTTCGATACATTTATCAGTAATGATAAGATCATCCGGCGAAGGAGAAAGAAAATTACGGAAAAAAACTTTAAAAAATGGCGTGCATTTTAAATGCACTGATTTCGCTAAATTCCTCAACATTAATTCCTGAAAAATATTCTTATAAATTAGAGAGAAATTTTAAAATTTCTAATTCAGCTTTAAAGAAAATATAAACTTTTTTATGTTTCCGAAAAATGTGCGTCAAACAAATTAATTTTCCTGGATTCCAATACTTTGCTAAACGAATAATTCGAGTCATAAATGCTGGAGTTCTATTAAACCAACGAAAAGATTAAAAATGATTAAATAATGCAATACATTAAAATTAAAAAGCTATTGGGAAGAACCAGTACGATAGTGAAGATTACTATTTTCTAATAATTTTATTTCTTAAAAACTAATAAACCAAATAATCTTTAAAGAAGATAATTGATACAATTTATCAAATTATCAGAAACGTTCAATTGATATAAACAAATATCATCGAAAAAATAAAAAAACACAACAAAACACAAAACATGTGAAATCAACACAATGCGTTCAAAAAACTACATTTTTCACGAAATATTAAATTTTCACTATCACTGAAAGTTTGAAAAATTTTATGAAAGCTCGCCGGGTTCAACATTATTATCCTTTTCTTCCTCTAAATAAACATTTTCATTAATATTAACATCATCATTAAATGATTCTGCATTCATAGCTTTTCGTATCCGAAGTGATTCGATTCTTAATGAACGTTTTAATCCTAAAAAAAAAAGATCTTTTAATCTTAATTTTAATCTTTAATCTTAATTTTAATCTTTTTCATGAAAGTTTAAAAGAAAAACGTGCAATCCCTTTCCTCATCCTCCCAACCTATCCTTTGTCAAAGAAGTCCCATCTCTAATGATAATATAAGAGCTAAGCCAGAAAATTCTTATTTGAAAAAGAAATACTCCAAAAAACATTTGCAAAATTAAGAACCTGTGAGATGAACATAAAAGCGTTGAAGTGCTGCTTCTTCTCGCTGAAGAATAAGCAGTTGATCTCGCAATGCACTATTCGACATCACTATAACTTAGCCGCAAGCGATTTCTATCCAACATGAGAAAAATTCACTGAAAAAAAAAAAATAAGAAAACCATCGCAAACTTCATTTTATCGTTAGATAACGACAACGATTTCCACGGACAATGCCATACATATTAATAATTACTAATGCACCTACTTAATGTAAAATTGAACGTAAAATAAAGAGAGTCAAGAAAAGGGACGTATAAATTCCACAAAAAATGAATATATTTAGTGGTAAAAATCAACTTTATAACCAATAAACATGAGAAATAGCAAAAAATTTTTATTTTTCGATATATTATATTATACAAACATTGAAAAGAATATTGCGAAAAATGATAAAAAAAAAATAAATTCAAAAAATTTCTAATTTCTAAATTTTTAATAAAATTTTTAATTTTTAATGAATAAAAGAGGATGAATTTGAAAAGAGTGAATATGCTATTAAGGGCGAAAACGATACATTATTCAAAATGATTGGCCGCAATCGATTTTTGTCCTTGTCAACAGCAAAATGCCAATCTGATGAAAGCGTCAAACCAAACCAACCAACAATGGCGAACTAATTGAAGAAAAATTAATGAAGAAGAGTATAAATCCTGGAGCACCAATAATAACAAGGAAAAAAACAACTAACGAAGTTTAAAATAAAAAAAAACAAAAAGCATAGATGAAGAGCCGAACTATTTATCGCTTCATTAAGGGTGCCGGACTTGCTTGATTTGCACGTCTTCGTTGTCGTTCAAAACGCTTTTCCATTTCATCGAGAAGACGAGGTGTATAACGCACAACCAATTTAACTGTACCTCTAGCAGATTTTAAAAGTTCCACGGCTTTTTCATGACATTCCCATTCAACATTGACTCCATTTACCTGAAAAAAATATAAATCGTTTGTTTTTAATAGGATTTTCTTACCACCTTACTTTATTATATAACCGATAATTATAATTACTTATCCATTTTTACATTATAAATATATATTTTATATTATTTTATCTTACATATAGATCATATACTAAAAATTAATCAAAAAAGAAGCAAATGAAAACTGGAATAACTAACAGCGATAAGCTGATCGCCTCGTTTCAATTGCCCATTTCTATCAGCCACGCCACCGGGAATAATTCGAGATATATAAATGGGTGAATTTTGCTCTTTTCCACCCATAACATTAAATCCCAAACCTTGATCAGTCTTTGGTAATTCGACAACACGTGGATGAGCATGCCCTTCCGCTGCGGCGAACGCTGCAACTGTTGCCTTTGCAGTTGCACTAGTTCTTGCCTGGAATGGAAATCAATTTATTATGAGTCTTACTAAAGATATAAAAATTATTCATAAACCATTTTTTGCTGAACAGCTTCATAATTTAAAAAAAGCTTTAATACTTATAAAAAAGAGAACATGAAAAATAACTGAATAAACATTTAAGTAATAAGATAAAAATTTAAAAACAAATCGTTGATAAGGATAAAAATAAAGTAAAAAAAAAGATTTAATGAAAAAAGTTGAAGAGTTCAATTTTTTAAAAAAAAACGATAATTAAGGAGAAAATAATTTACTTCACGTGAACCATCGACACTTATTGTATCATAAACGTGTTCAAAGACTTCGCGCACAGAATTAAAGAAATCCGATTGTAGAATTTTTTGAATTACAGCCAACTTCGGATTGATTATTTCACCTGTTTTTTGAACATGCTCGATTAATTCCAGTATTCTTTGAATATCTAAAAATAAATGAGTCAAGTCATATTGCTTCGACTGGGTTCAAGTGTCCGCCTTGTCATTAGAAACAAAATCCGCGAAAGTCTTGTCCTTTACTAGGATTCTAAGGAAGAATGAGGATTGTCAAAATAGCTCGAGAAAGTTTTTAGCCGTTTCTTAACCTACTAAAATTGAACCTATTAAATTATTGAAATAAACCTCGATCAAGATGAAGAGATTCAGCATTTTTTTCCATCTTCATGTATGAAATAATGGAACTTCAAACTAGTCAAGGTTCCCTACTTTCCTTCTTATTGCTTACTGAACCGATCGAATGGTACCATCACTGTCTATTCCCATTTGCTTCATATCCTCTAAATTACAACTATTTTATTTTTTTTTATTTCAATTTTTTTGCAACTGAAAAGGAATAAAAAAAAGAGAATTTTCAATAAACAAAATTATTTCAAAAGCAAAAAAAAAATCAACCATTCATAGAAAATGATTTAAAAATAATAATTTTTCGAAATATTTTTTCTTGAAAAAAAAAGCATTTAACATAATAATAAAAATAAGATCATTTCGAACATTTTATTTATATTTCATTTATAAGTTCAAAATTTTTTGACATTTCGAATGGAACAACATTGAAGGTTAGCTTATATATAGGATCTTCTGGATCAATAATTTCGAATTCCTTGAGAACCTCAGGTATTGTTCGGTCGGGTTTTACTAATTCTCGACTGATTATGACTCTTCCATCCACTTCTGATTTAAGCAACAATAAACCTCGATCTCTTTTAAAATATACCTTCAAATATAAAATATTATTATTAACTAAAATATTAACAATGAAAATAATGCTCTATTGAAAATAATGCTTCTTGTCCACAGAGATTAATTTAATTGCTGATAGAGACATATCAGAGATATAAATTTATATTTATATATCTGAAGCAATAAAACTGAATTATAGGCTTATGACACTTTGGAAATGATTTGAAGTTTTTGAACCTATATAAATAAAAAATACATCCGTAAGTTGGATCTAAATAATAAACTCTCTTCTTTTCCTTCATATATTAAATCTCGAGCTTTTTAGATCACTCAAAATTAAAAAAATCATTCATCTAATTGGACACCAATAAAGGTGCCAATAAACAAAGAAATATAACGAAAAAAATTGATACTCCAAGGACCAAACTAATGATGGAATGGAATGGGGAAAATAACTTATTAACTTTAAAACAAATCATTTTACACGATAAATGTTATTAGTTGTATGGATAAGAAGAAAAGTGAGTAAAATGGAGAAAAAAAATGATAATTCCACGACAAGGAACACCGGAACACTTAATTCCTCCATACCATACCATACCATACCAAGAAAACAAAATGCACCGAGAAGAAATAATCTCACGAAAAAAAATAAATCCAAAAGAAAAACGAAAAGGATGTGAGAAGAAGAGATCGGACATAATTTTAAAACCTTAAGATCGAGTATAAATATGGAAAAGGAGCTTTAAACCAAACCAACCAATCGAATACTAATTTTAAAAATTTTAATTTTAATTTAATAAATAATTTTGAATTTTTAAATTAGAGAACTTACATTTAGACCCGGGAAATAGTTCAACCTAACTTGGCATACAAGCAAATCGTCCTTCTTTACAATATCTCCATCTTTATAATAAATACCGCGATAAGGCTTATCGGAAGCAGGTCGAAGTGCACCACGATAACTTAATAGGAAAATTCCTTTTTGCAAATATTTCACTGCTAAAAATCTCGATGAAATTGATTCAAACAACGGCAACATTATTATTTAACATAAATAATCTGAAATACTATTACATTATTGGTATAAATTATCATTATTATCAAAATTATCACTTAATAATAATTCTTATGATATTAATTTATATTATTTTTTTGTACAGCACTTATCATCGTTGGTCAAAGTCGCTCTATATAAACTTATCGAGTCAAACAAAACTTATCACTTGGCGATAAAAGGTTAGTCGCCAATATCCCTTGAATTTTTAAAGGATAAGCTTATACTCCCAAGCTAAGAAAGGAATCGTAACAATTACTAGTCAAACTCGCTTCCCTGATTTGCCAATGTGCCATGAAGTCCTTTGGCGATAGAAATATAGATGAGCTGCCATCATCATTAGGGATTTTTATACAGGTTTAGTCCTGCGGGGAATAGAACATCAGCGCTCGACGCTCTGAATTGGGCAACAACTCATTGAGCCATTCTACTTGATATCATTACCATTATTGTTTGCATTAACTATTACCATTATCACTATTATCACTATTGATATTTTAAAAAATTATCATTGTATATTTATTGCAATCATCACTCGTATCATCAAAACAAAATTATGAACAATAAAATTATTCAAAAAACATTTGTAGTTAAACACCCTTTCAATACATCTGCTATATTTTAATAAATTATTTCGCAAAAATAACAAAAATGACAAAAATACCGCCGCCCTCCCCCCCCGCACCCATCCCCTACTCCCTAAGACGACTGAAAAAGAACGAAGCAGAGGAGAAGAAAATTCTGCTATCGACAATTTGAAGAATAAGCCGCAGTCAAAGCCGAAGCCGTAGCTGTCTTTTGTCCATTAGCGATAGCATTCTGCTATAAGCCGTACGCGGTGAAAAATCTATGTCACTCCCGTCTTTTGCAATTGTTATACCAAGCTGACGGCTAAGCTATATCATTGTGGCTTTATGAAAAAGTCAGGACAAAACGAATTGGCTAGTCTGATAAGACTGTTATCAGATCTGATAAGGGGCCTTTTATTTCAATGGCTGTTTAGTCGAATGTTTAATTCGGAAGAAAATTTGGCTGAGCTATCTCAGTCTTCTGACTTTTTATCTTCCAAAAAAGGTAATACTGGAGTTGAGGAGAGGACTTTGGTTCTAATTATCGTATTGAGAAGTAATATTTCGACTTTTATATCAGTTGGGAGTAAACCTTTCATTGTTGTCTAAGTGGTGTTGGTGACCTGCTTATACTTTTCTCGATAAATGATACGCGGATCGCTTATCACTTAAAAAGCGATATTATCATAAATACCACTAGAATAAAAGCATTTCATTGTGGAATAAAAGATGAAAAAAGGTGAGCAAAGGTTTATTATTAAAATATTTTTTCTTAAAATTTCGAAAAAATGGTATATATATATATATACATATAATTTTATTATTCTATTTATATATTATTTTAAAACATTTTTATATTTTTAAGTATTTTTTAGTATTTAAGATGTATTTAAAGCATTTAAATTAATTATTATTAATTGTTTTGTTAATGTTTGTTGATTAAAATTTATATTTTATATTTATATTTTGATTATTTTTATTACTATTATTATTTTATTTTTGTATTATTATTTTATTATTGTATTTTGTATTGTTATTTTTATTGTATTATTTTATTATTATCATTATTATTATCAAAGTAAACTGGTATGAATTGCGATGTAAATTTTTTTTTACTTATGTCAGAATTTATATTTTATTATTTTATTTTTTTTCATATTTTATTTATATGTTCAAAAAAAGATCCCTTTGTCACCCTTTATGGGTGACAGAGTTCTTCTTCAACTTTAGATCTTCTGCGAGGAGTCTGCGAGATTGAAGCTTTTACGCAATATATTAGCTATTTCAAACAGTACGATCTTCTAGATAGAATTCTCTGTTGTTGTTCCTGGAATCACTTTTTCAGCTACTTTTGTTATTATTAAAATATTTCTATTATTAAAATATTAAAATATATAAAATATTAAAATTTCGAAAAAATGATATATATATAATGATATATATAATTTTATTATTCTATTTATATATTATTTTGAAACATTTTTATATTTTTAAGTATTTTTTAGTATTTAAGATGTATTTAAAGCATTTAAATTAATTATTATTCATTATTTTGTTAATTTAATTTTTATTAATTAAAATTTATATTTATATTTTTATCACTTTTATCATTATTATTGTATTATTTTATTAAAGCCGCATGTTTTAATTTAGGAATCACTAAAAAAAAAAAAGTTTCAATTCTTTTATTGGTCAAATATGGTTTTTGAAAATTTTTTCGTCCAAAGAGATAGCAAATTTTTTTTCAAAAAAATATAATACAACTAAACAAAATTCATTATTTCTTTTTAAATATATTTAATTAAATATTATAAATATTAAATATTTATATTAAATATATTTAATATTTCAATAAATATTTGTGGCTTTGTGGTTTTCATAATTTTTTGCCAACAAAAAACTTGAATTATTAATAATTATCAATAATCTTTCAAAGATCAAAAGCAAAGCATTCGCCATCTCAGTGGGATTTAAAAATATCGGTGGCTTAGCGGCTAAAAAGAAAAAAAAAAGATTCATACGACAATAAGAAGAATTGAAGAATTTGTATTATGGCAAGAGCCTCCACTAAGCAAAAAAATGTAATGAATAAAGATAAACTGATAAATTCGAAGAAAAAAAAGGGCTCTTTTGTAAAGAAAATGGGAAATTTGCTATTATTCTTGTCAATTTAAGCCAGAAATTTTTATTTTTTATTGCAATTTTTATCAAAAATTTCATCAAAAATTTAACATTCTCTATGAAAGAGTTGTGCCAAAACAATTATATATTTATATTAAATGATATCTAATATTTTTGCTGATAATTTTTATAACAGATTTGCTAGAATTTGCTATATTTTCTCATTTTCTGGCATTTATATAAAATATTTTTATCATTGATAATGATAAAATTAATGATAAAAATAATGATGATAAATTGTAAGCATCTTTCGAAAAAAGATGTTTACAATTTTAAGAATATTTCCCGAAGAAATTTCAAATTAAATTAAAAGTTAAACGAAAAAAAGAAATTTAAAATTTGAAATTTAACTGAATAAAAATTTATTATTTTTGATAAATTTTTGCGAATCAGCAAAATATTTTTGAGGTACTTCACTTCAAAAAAAAACGACAAAATAATGATAATCACTTTTAATAACCAGGTGGTGTTCTCGGTTCAGGACAGTGATCACAACTACCTAATTCTCCAGGCAAACCCTGATGACCATTTGGTCCTTGAGGACCGGGTACTCCGATCTGGCCGTAAACACCATCGTCACCTGGCAGACCAGGAGGGCCAGTGATATTTTTGCCATTTTCGCCTATCAAGCCGGGTGGTCCAGGCGGTCCGGGAGGACCTGAAATAATTTTATGAAACGTTTATGCTTTTCAATTTAAATTTAAATTGGTAAATTGGTGAACGATCATTCTAACCATTCTAGCATATTGATGTTGATATTTTTGGTAGTTTTCGAAAAATGACCAACAAACCTGGTGGGCCTATTGGTCCCGGTGGGCCATTGATCGGTATGACAATTCCTTGCGCACCTGTTGGTCCACGTGGGCCTTCTGCTCCCATAGATCCTGGGGGTCCTATAGATCCTGTCATGCCCGTAGCTCCCTTTTTGCCATCAGATCCGTCTTCCCCATTCTGACCTTTTGGGCCTCGTGGTCCCTTCGGGCCAGCTTCACCTACACGACCTGATGGACCACGAGGACAAATTATACATGGCTCAGTAGATGCAATAGCAGACAGTAATATCTAAAAAAGAAATCATGAATAGAAATAGAAAAAAAAGATGTTTTAATGCAAAAATTAATTGCGAATCTTACTTGTCCATCTTTACCCGGAATTCCATCCTTACCAATTTTCCCATTATCACCTGTCGGACCATCCGCACCTGGTGGTCCTTGAGGACCAACAGGACCTTGCTGACAAGTACAACAAGAAGATGATGATGGTTCGGCGTTAATTACAGCAACAGCTGATGGTTGGTACGCATTTGAAGAGCGAATGTAATTTTTATAATTTTGATTATCAGGTATGTACTGGCCAAACATCCATGTACCACTTTTACGTTTGTATCGTTTGCCATCATTTAAGAAATTCATTTCAAACCACATGTCGCGAGTTCTTGACTGAAATTATACGTAAATTATACCTATCTTTCATCTCAAATTGTCAACCAATCTTTAAAATTAAAAAAAAAAAACTAGAAAATCTTCTTATAGTAAAAAAAGTGGTCAGCTCATCGTTTCATATTAGGTTAGTTCCACTGACTGTTAAAATGAGAAATGAAATTTAATACTATTGAGGCACCCACTTGCTGATAAGAATATAGCCAAAATACGGTCATACGGTTTTTTTGGGGAGAATGAAATACGTTTGCTTTTGACGCTAATCTCTATTCATGTTATAGGGTCCGAATCATGGAGCATGACAATATCAGTAGATCTATACAGCAGCACTGTTAAAGTTAAATTCTCAATAAAAAAATTCGTCCAAGTTTAGATAAGTCCCAAATTAAATAATTTGCAAATAATTATTAACAATGATTCAGGCATAATATAATTGAAAAAATGCCAAAGGGATTTCTCATTTGAAGAGATTTTAATTATTCGAAACTGTGGAACAATACCGATTAGAATGGGTATTGGTGTGTTGTGATCCTGCGAGATTACCGTTGGTATACGCGACAGTCAAAACTATTTCAAGTTAAAGGTCGAATATATGGTAGGGCTCGGTCCTTTGGAAAAAATTGAGCCTTTCGAAATTCTAACTTCCATCTATACAATCCGCCTAAATCGCGAATATAACCCCGAAAATGTATTTAAAGGCATATAATTGTAATATTTTTCCAGTATGAAATCTAATTTAGAAGTTTTCTACCAGAGATGATTCTGAATTCTTCGAATGTAGTCTGGTGTCCTTTAAAACTTATCTTTGTTCCTCTCCACTCCTTCAGATAAAATATTCATTGATATTTGAAAAAGAACTACCATGTTACCGGATAAATGATAAGATAATTGCAGCAAAGCAGTCCTGTTTTCGATTCCCAAATCAGATGATAGGAAACCAACCCAATATACATAAATTTAGGTTTTTGCCTCTATTCTGCTGAATTTAGAATTATGGCGACATTCGAATCAAGCTGGATGGACAAGAAATGATAAATATTATATTCATGCTAAAAATATTGGATATATCAGATATCGACAGCACGCCATTCGTCTTAGATTTTTTTGTTGCCTTTGATTAAATAAAACGAATTGTGGCCTGAAGGGCCACGAAGGTAATATAATGACATTTATATTTTTACCAACATGCATAGGTAAGCGTAAGTTCGAAGCAAGTGCTGGCCTTAGGCCTTCGCTCATACTTTTTCACGTACACTACTCGTCGATATTCGAGAGGTGATAAAGAGACGCACCTAATTTTTAGATCGGGCTATTTTAAATATTTTATAATATTATAAATGTTTTTATATTTTAAATATCTTGAATTCATTCTTATACCAAATGGCCAAACGAAAGACGAAAATTAAACTCGGATAGATCCATTTAATGGTGGTAAAATAGGTCAATTTCCTATATTACCTATCTCATTGCACTATACAAAATCGTATCGTATACAGATGAGAAACATGAACACTGGGAATGATCAAGCGTTTGATAATCCTGCGTAAGATATTTTATTTTGCGGATGAAATCTGATATGATCGCATTTCGCTCCATCTCCATAAGCATATTATTAATAGAATGGTTCAGTGAGTTGTTGCTAAATTCGGAGCGCCAATATTGAGGTTCGATTTCCCTTAGGAGTAAACCTGTCAAAAAATCCTGGTAATATTGGCGATTCCCTTGTATCGCTAGTACACTCTCTGGTATATTTATCTAAATAGATAAACCAGAATAAAAAGCAAATTTAACCAGTAATAATGAGGACTCTTAAAAAAAAAGCTTATTAGGCAATATTTATCACTTTCTATCATAGGAATTGATGCATATCTTAAGCCTTTATAATTGATATACATGATGATAATCAATAAAAAAGTGAATTAGATTAGAAGGCGATTTTATATGCCCTATCAAATGCCTATCCAATAATATTTAGGCTTAAACATTGAATGGAAAAAAAAAAATGTATAGTTTTTATTATTTTCCATGCATATTCTTACTACTAACTGAATGAATTCAATTAAATCAACAAATAGATTTAGTTATGCGCGAATAGTATGGAAATTATTTGCCATATAGAATAATATATATAAAAAATAACTATATATATATATATAAACTAATAATATAAATAATATATATAAAACAATAATAACAATAATGATATAAAAAATATATATATAAAATAATAATATATAAAATAATAATAATAAAATAATAATATTATATATTTATTATATATATATATATATTAATATTATATATTAATAATATATAAAATAATAATAAAATAATAATAACATAAATAATATATATAGAATAATATGTAAAATAACAAATATATATATATATATAAATAATAATATAAATAACATGTATAAAATAGTAATAAAAATAATAATATAAATAACATATATATATATAAAATAATAATAATATATATATATATAAAAATTGCGTATAGGATGGCTCAGTGGGTTGTTGCTCAATTTGGAGCAGCCGAAGCTGCTATTCGATTCCCCACAGGAGCAAACCTGTACAAAAGTCCGGGTGATGCTGGCAACTCACTTGTACTTCTATCCCCAAGGGACTCCCTGGCATATTACTCAATGCGATAAGCCAATGAAGCGAGTTTAACCAGTAATGGTGAGGACTCTTAAGAAGAAGAAGAAGAATATATATATAAAAATTATTTGAAAGAAAAAAATTACCTTACAAAAATCGACTTCAATTATTAGATGATTTTGAAATGATTGTAAAAAGCTATAAAGCATTGGTAGCGTAATAATTGAAGCAATAACAGCAACTGTTGAAATGACAACGGCGAAAAATGCGACACATCGCATTTTTCGCTGCTCGACACTTTCGTATTCGTATTCTTCGTATTTCGCCATTTGAAACATTAACGAAACCTTTCAGTTATAAATCACCTAATTTAAAAAAGCGTAGAATAATGATGGTACATTTCGTAGATTTCGTTTAAAATTTTACAAATTATTTTTTTTTTTTTTAGGTCATTTAAATCACTTTTTTTCTTTTGTTCTTTTGTTCTTAATAAAATAATCTAATAAAATAATTTTTTAAAACAATATTTAAAAGAAAAGCGAATAAAAGCAAAAAGCAAAAAGCGAAACGAAGATTTATTTTATGAAAATTTTATTATATAAAAATTATTTTATAATATTTAAAAATTTTTAAAAGAGAAATATATGGTTAGTAAACTAATAAAAATAATTTAATAAAAAATTTTGGCATTAAAAATGGCAAAAAGCGAAAATTTATTTTATGAGAATTTATGAGAATTTTACTATATAAAAATTATTTTATAATATTGTTTCAAAAAAATAAATTTATTAGATTATTTTATTAATTAATTAATTACTTTAAATTATTAATTATTTTAATTATTAATTAATTATTTTTTTAAATTTTTTAATTATTTTTAAAAATTATGACAAAAATAAAAATTATAAAACATTAAATTTGAAAAAATTGGAATTTAATGGTAAAGTTCTATCATTAAAAAAAAATCCGGGTGGTGTGGTACCAAAACCTATGTATAGTAAACCTTAAATAAAAAGTTCCATAGCAAAATTAATTGTGTTTCTAACTTTGCTAATAGCCAATGGCTAATAATGGGCAATAAATTGCTCTATTGGCGTACTTATCAATAAAATTGCTATATTGCTGATATATTGACGGTTCTTATCGTTGCTTACTTCAGAAATAAATAAATTTTAAAAGATGTGTATGAGTATGTGTATGTGTAATGATGTGTGTATGACCTAGTATGAGAATTTTTTAGGTGATTTTTATTTTAAAACTGGCTTAAAACAATTAAAAAAGAATTTTTTATTGTAGCAAGCTGCTGATATGTGATCAATCTGGTTTTACGTCGTTTAATCATTCCTTATTCATTGAACTATTATAAAAAAATTTTCATTTTTGACCTAAATAATCCTTCGTAAAATTCTATAGCATTTTAGGCAAATGATAAAACGATAAAATTATCAATTATAAACACTATTGTTAATAAACTAACGATGGTACTATTGGCATATAACATTAATAAAAATATCCTATTTTTTTCTTAGGCGTGCTTAATTGTTTCTTTCTGCTTGGGTTTACTCCATCGGTTTATCAAAGTAGGTATATTTTGCGAAATAATCATAAGACGATAGACGTAAAGGTAGCTCCGCACTCTGAGATCTTCATAAGATAGGCTTTCTCTCCTTCAGCAACAAACTTACCATCATCAAAATTAGCAGTTGGCTCTTATATTTTGTATGGTTATGTTGAACTAGATTGTTCAAAATATTATAATTTTAGGTTAAATTCAAATCCAACAAGAACTAATGGGCTAAAATTACTAAAACCTATGTGTAAAACTAAACTAAGGATTTCGTTATTCGTAATATTAATTACTGGAATAAACTACCGAACGATATAGCCTATGCGCCATCCTTAACTATCTTTAAAAGTAATTAAAATAAAACAAAAAGTACCATACAAAAAGATCGAAATATCATTTATGATATTATTTAAAAAATTCATATCATGCAGAAAGTGCGAAATCGCGATTTTTACCAACCGATTATAGTTATTTCGAATTGTACTATATTTTATTATGTTGCAATATCCTCTTTATTTCATCTTTAAATTGTTTATTTTATTTTAATTAATATTTTTAAATTAATATTTTAATATTTTTATTTTTTTGTTTTTTCTCATTAATTCTTATTATTTATTATTTTAACTGATGTTATTAAATACAAGCACATGGCGTTTGCGCCCTGCTTGGCTGGTTTTCAATAAATAAATAAATAAATAAATAAAAATCTCCAGAAACAATTTATACTGCTGCGATTTGCGCAATTTTCACATATTTCTTTGATAAATCTTTGCAATTCGAGTATTAGCGAGAAAATTCAGGCTATTTCTTTGGCGATTGAATTTATGATCTCATACTTTTATATTAAAAGTCTTGGCTCAACAAAGTTATGGCTTTATAAAAAATATAAAAAAAACCATGTCACCAAATATTCCCTTCTCACTTAATTCACTTCATAATTCACTTCAAATCACTTTTTATACTTCTGGGTATAGGAACTATATAGCCTTACGTTTTAAATATAAATTGTCATATTTTGCCAATGCCGAGTTGTCAGCCTCATTCTTCAACACCTTAAAATAGTATTTTATGTCAATATTGTTTATTTCGAAATTTTTAAATTTAAATTTGAATAAATTTTTTCAAATTCAGGCAATAATGAATATTATAACGATAAAAAGTACCATACAAAAAGATCGAAATCCTCTATATTTCAACAAAGAATCACCACGCGGACATACAAGAGAAAACACCCTTAGCACCTTAAAATATTGAAAACTCAGTTATTATGTTGAAATGCGAACGGTAGCAACGATAGCTGCATGTTTCCAGAAAACAGGAGAAATGCTACCTTTCGAAAATTTAGACTGTTCTGGCAAGACAGTTGCATTCCTCGACAAATGATTAATTTTCTAGCAAAAAATTTCCAGCTTAACCAAAGATAAATATGATAATTTTTTTATATATGAATGTAAAACATGTCTGGAGGGTTTGACGCTCACATGATCATTTTTCCGATTTATGCGAGCAACACACCTCCGCTATACTTTAGCACCCCCACTATACGATGCGTAATTATAATACGCACCGATGAACTTTGAGGAAGTGCAAAGATATGAACTGGAAGCAGATGGCTGATTAGATAACGCGCACCATCCCTCCACACCATTTTTTCACAAACGTCCAGCATGAATTAATTTTTAAGTATGCGACAAGAAGATAATTTTTTTATCTTTTTCAACAAAAAAATTTATGAATTTTAATGAAAAATTTTGAAAATTTGGCTTTTTTGGCTTAAATAATATCTAGCAATAAATGAAAAAAAAAACCTAGAAAAGTATTCATTTAAAGTGGAAATATTCGAATAATTTAAAATATTAAAAATTAAAAAATGATTGCATAAAGAACACAAATAAATAATAGTGATCCATTGATAATTTGTTCAAAATTTTTTTCATAAATTCAGAAAAATATGATCAATTTCCAAAATTTACATATTTTAAATTATATAAATATTTATTATTCGATAGTTCATATTCTTTTTCCGACTCAAAATTTTGAGACATGCGATACCCTGAAATATCATTTGAAGAAAAGCAAACATGAAAAAAAAAACATGAATTTAATCCAATTGAAATTTAAAGACGCGAATTCTGCTATCTTAACTTTTCTCTTCGAAGTAAACCAGTGGTTCTTAAATCGGAGTTCAACACTCTACGAGTCCTCGATCTTTACAAGGGATTCTCTAGGATAAAATCATTTCCATATTAATATAAATAGTAATATTGTAGTATATGTAGTAATAACGGTAATTACTATTACAATAACACACAGAAATTATAGCAATACATTTTTATTAAAGATTTTTCAGTTTTTATCTCGAAATTTATGGGCAGAAGTACCAACAAGATTAGAACGATTAGAACGCCCTGATGGGACACTTCATTTATTTTTAATAATTCAAAGAGCTAAGCCGAGCAAAAAAGAACCACTGCTAAATTCCGATAAAGTTATACAGCAGAAATGAGAAAAATTATTGAAGAAAAATGAAATAATAAAAAATCATTATTATGATTCTTAACAGATTTTCTGAAATTCTTAACAGATTTTTATTATATTATTATAATATAATAATAATATAATAATAATAAAAAATAAAAATCTATTTTTTTAAAAAACAGATATTTCTACATTAAATCAAATGGATAAAATGCTATGCATTGAACTGAGAAAAAAACCTAAAATAAATCAAAAAAAATCAAGATTATATGAAAAGAATTTAAAACCATACCGTAAAATAAATAAGTAAATGCAACAGAAGATAAAAAACATCTTATGATTCGCCACAACTTGTCTGATTTGTGGGCAAACCTTCTTTTTTAAATGATTCGGATGTTGTTGAATCTGCTACCGCGATCTCTGCATGATGACCTGAAATAAACATAACTTACAGTGGGCTAATAGAGAAATGGAAAATCACCTTTATGAGCTGATTGGGCAAAATTATTGCTTTCTTGTAATCCTCCGGAATCTTGTTCATCTGCGCTACTTTCCAACAAGTCAGAACCTGCAAAATAAAATTTCATAAAGAAAGAAAAAAGCTTAAAGATGAGAACATTATTGTTAGCAGGGTGGAAATGATGGAAAACGTAAAGAAAAAATACCTTCAATTATGGCCAATATTCGCTTATTCGACATTCCTTCCAATTCATCAACGCACATGGTCATTAAGGTTTTGATTTCAAGGTTCTGAAAAGAATATTAAATAATCAATGAAAGTTCTAAGAAAAATGATATATAAACTTAACAGAAATTGATGAATTAATCCTTGTTCTTGAAAATTAAATTAAAATTAAGAACAGCTATAACAAATGCTAATCCATGTAACAACAACTGCAATAAAAAAAATCGGACTCCATATCAGTGCAGATAAGACGAAAATCTATGAAAATCCAAAGACTGATAAAAAATTTATATTTATAAATTCATTATTGAGGAAATATTAAAATCTTAAATTTATTCTTACACCAAATAGTCAAGCAAAAAAAAAAATTCTAGCCAAGATAGCCGTAGTTAGCGATTCTTCCGTCCTGCGAAAGACAGAAGAATTTTGTGGATTCATCGTGAAATCACCACCAAGTTCTGATCTATCTAGTAGTGGTCCGCATAATCCTCCTATACGGCTGCAAAATAGCCAGTGAGAATAAAAGATGATGGAGGCTACTTTTGACCATTCCTACCTAAAGTATGTAAAAAATGTCCACAGAATGGAAAGACTTTCAAAAGACAATACTTTCTCTCAAACACCTGCATTAAAGATTGTCAAAAAGATTGTCAAAAGGGGTCGCCTACGCTGGATATACAGTGTTCTTCGGCCATCTCAAGAATTGATGCATAGTTTGTTGCTCGCTAGGTTCTATGTGATGATATCAAAAAATACCAATCAAGACCCGGAATGATGAAGACAAGAAGAAAAGCAAGAGAAAAAAGCCCATGCAACTCAATAGTATAAACTAGTCAGCACAAATAGGAATGGCTTCTGCTATGCTTTCAGATATAGTACTAGATCCAGAGGCTTGAAAGCGCAGCCAGTCTAACCAGCAATAATTCTTAAAAGAAAAAATGCACAGAGCATAAATCTCCAATTGTTCATTCCTTTTTGATTACCAAAAAGAGAATAAAAAATGTCTTTTAACCTTTAAAGAACCAGGAAGAAGTTTTCTGAGATCAGCACGTGTAATAGAGGCAAATACATGACGAACAAGAACAGACCTCTCGTTGATATAAGACTGTAGATCACAAATCTCTTCTAAACCAAATAATTTTTTGATTGCTAATGAATTTTAAAAAAAATTTCGAGATTAACCAAATTATTGAGAATTAATTAAAAATTTGACAAAAAATGAGCCAATTTTACTATATTTTGCCAAAAAAACTTTCAAATGCCAAACTTTTGTCAAATACCGTTTTTATCAAGTTCAATAACCGAAGAAGTGGACTGTTTTACATCTGATATGTTCGCTCCAGAACTAAAAGAAATAAAGTAAAAGAAACAGTAAAAGTATGAAAAAAAAGAAAACAATTAATCAAACAATTGAAGTGTATACACACCTTCTGAAAGAAGATGGAAGATGTTTAACATCTAAATCCGATGAACCACTCGAAGACGATGAAGAATGCTTTTTATGAGATCGAGAACGAGTTTCCTTATGACTGTGATGTTTCTTCCTTGAATGTTTGGAAATTGCCTAAAAAACAAAAAAATAAAATATTATTTTTTTGCTTACTCAAGCAAAAATATGACAAATGGAATTCGAAGTTTACAACTGTTTACAACAGTTTAATGAAAAAAAAATGGGGAGAATGACCATAAAAAATCGATAAGACTAGTAAAAAAATCCATTCTGCTGACTAGTAGAATTTCTTGTTCAATAGAATTTTGAGCAAATGTAAAAAATGGAATGAAACATTCAAGTATAAGAAGGTTCATAACAGGATTACAAAAAAATAACAGGATTTTGACGATACGTGTATTAGAGAATTTGTAAAGAATTAAAATGGTGCTTGGAAAACGATGATCACGATTTTGTTGCACGAAAGCAACTATTTGAAGTGATTAACAAATTTTAGATATAAAAATCTGAGATGAATGCTGCTTGGAGAGATCTTAAGTTTGGTGGGACAGAGGGAGGGTTTAAGATGGTTAGGAGTGGTGTAGAAGAATATAGCGAGTGATTAATATAAAATGGAGTATGGAGAAAAAAAAAAAAATCTGAAAATTGAGAAAATTTAAAAAATGCTCGGCAACTAAGTGGATTCTGGACAACTTTTTCCTCAATCATACATACACTATAGTCTTGTTAAAGTTGTAAAGCTAAAATACCAATGACTAGTATTTATCATAATAATAATAAAAAAATCATTGTAAAAATCTTTCAGAACAGAAATCTTTTTATTTAACTCAGAAATTTGTTCTCAACGAAAATTTTCTAGCAAAAGTGTTATTTCTTGGAAATTTTTTAGCACGAATTTTCTATATATTTCATATATAAATTTCCTATAAATTTCCTATTTAGCATTCACGCCTCATTTGAGTTTATTTTTTTATAGTATATTTTTATATTTATATTTAATTATTTTTTGTCTTACCCAAAATTTCTCCAAATTTCTTCACATATCGCCCATATAATGCTCACAATCGTGCAAAAATATCGTTCTCAGTGGATTTTAGTTTAAGTATAAATAGAAATTATTTGGTAAACAACACTTAATTAAATGGCAAATAACAATTAAAAAATAATAATATAATATAATAATAATAATATAATTAACAAATTAATTAATAGTTATAATTGTTATAATTATAATTAAAAATAATTATAATTAACTATATTTGAAACTTATAAATTTATAGATAAATAGGTATTATAGGGAAATGAAAATTCGACGTTACTACAAATAGAGTGGATAAAAATTCAATGGATCATAGTCAAAGATGAAGATAAATTGGTTAAAATTAAATTAAATGAAATGTTATTAAAAATGCAAATAAAAAAAGAAAAAAATCTTTCAGACATTTCCTTAAGATAAAGATGAAATAAATTTATATTAAATCGTTAGATTATAGAAAATATATATAAATAAAATAAAAAATATATATTACTCGCGAATGATCCCGTTTCGATGACTTTTTTTTCCGATGATGCTTCGCTGAACGATCGCTTTTCTTCGACGATTTCATTCACCTTTAAAATAAATTAAATAAAATAAATAAACAAATTACCGCTAATGAATAGCAATAATAATCGAATTACGAGAAATCTAATCAACTTTCATCGAAAGTTTCATTTAATTTATTTGATTTCAATTTTAAGAAACAAATCAAAAAAAAAAAAGCCAAATAGTAAGAATATGAAGAAAACCATATCGTTGAAATCAATTTAAAGTAAAAATTACAAATCTCATTGCAAAATTTAATAAAAAATTAAAAAAATAAATTAATAATTTAATTTTTATTTAAATCTGTTGACTTTAATTTTATTAATTTTAATTCTAATTTGTTTCTTGAATTTTATTGAATTTTATCGCAAGATTTATCGATTTCTAATTTTACAGATTACTTGCAACTGTTATCAGTTATCAGTCATTATCTTTATTGTTACTATTAACATTATTACTTAAATCTTAGTTATCATTAATTATTATTGTAATTATTTTATTTTATTATTATTGTAATTATTTATTTTATTATTTTCCAATAAAATTTCTTGAATCAATTTTTCAACTCGCTTATATTAGGTGTTTGGTTTACTAAAAATAGACAAATTTTGCCAATCTTGTTTCCTGAACCAAACTAATTTTTGCTAAGTCTTTTTTCAGTTTCTTGAACCAGACAGACTTTACCAGGGAATTATTTGGTGATAAAAACGCATCTAATCAGCAAACATTTTAATTAAAAAAAAAATAAAAATAAATGGTTAATCGGTTATAAATAAAATAAAAAATCTAAACCTAATATCAAACAATCGTTGCAAGACTACTCAAAAAATAATTTTTATCTTATAGCACTATTTCCTACATATTTCTTTGTGCATGAATTGAAATGAAAAATGAAAAAGGGTTTCATCTTTCGCTTTTCGTATTACTATAGAAATCACTTCATAATTATAACTATAAGCTATGGATTTTCCAGAATTTTTCCGATACCGATTTTCAATGGCCAAATGACGAATGGTTATCAATTATCAGTCATCATCTTTATTGTTACTATTATCATTATCATTATCATTATAAGTCAAAGCCAAGATTAAGCCTATTTTTGTAGGTAGAATGATAATGATAATGATAACGCATTGAACAGATATGCCAGAGAGTCCCATGGTGATGGAAATACAGGTGAATCGTCATCATCACCCAGATATTTTTGGCACGCTTATTCCTGTGGAGAATCGAACCTTAGTGTTGGCGCTCCAAATTGAACAACAACCCACTAAGCCATACTATCCCCTTATCTTATTTTACATTTATTTGCATTGTTGGGCATATCGATTCTGCATAATTTTAGTAGATTTAATACGAAATGATATATTCATTCAATGCATTTAAAATTTTATGATTTTATTTTCATTTCGATTTTACGGAAAAAAAGATTTGAGCATTTTAAAAATTAAGCAAATAAAAAAAAAAACCACAGAAATTGCAATTTCAAAAAGATAGAAATTGATAAATGATAAGTATTAGTAGAATGATAATGATAAGTGTACTAGGAGGCAATTTAACGATATATCTAGAAATTCTATAATAAATTTAGCCGATATTATCTTCAAAAAATTGAATGATAAATGTTAATAAATGATAAGGTTCACTTTATAAAATATTAATTTTCTCATTTTTCATGAAATTTTTTACCAAAAAATTATTAAATATAAATAATTTGTCGTATATGAATTTGCATTGATAGCATATCAGTCGTTCGGCATGAATTTTGCTGTTAACATTTCGATAAGATCAAAAATAAAAATGAATGATTAATGAATAAAAAATAAAAAATAATTAGCAAAAATATTATTTGAATATATTAATAAAATTAAAATTTGGTAAAATTAAACGAATTTATTAATTTTTATAATAGAATTTTATCCGAAAAACTGTTCAATTTATAATAATTTCAAAAAAAAATTTTCAATCTTTCAATAGCGTATTTGTTTATTTTGTCATTTCTCTAAGCTGAAATAAATATGAAAGGATTTTTCCAAAATTTTTTTTTATAAATTGGTTAAAAATAAAATAATGGAAAATAAAAATGGTGTTTAAGAGGATACAACGGCTGCCTACCTATAGGATTATTTTGAATCGTATAGCAAGAGGATATAGCGTATAGCATAACTAAAAAAAATAGTGATAAGTTGATAATCAATAATCTGAAAATCATCGTTCAAATTATTACTTATGCATATAATCATTTATAAAAAACCATTCTCACACGAAAATTTTATTTTTCACATAAATTTTGGTGAAGAATTTCTATTATTATTATGCTCTCAATTTATATTGTAAGTATTTTTAATTAGTAAAAAAAAAAAATTCTTATAATATCAGTGATAAACGAATGATTTCGACAAGATGGATAAGGAATAAATTGGTAAGTAAATTGATAAATTGATAAATTTGATATGAGAAAAATCTATTTCTTCTAGTAAGTTCACACTTTGAGAAATGGTAATTTTCTTCGCCATAATTAAAATTACTACTAAACTGCTAAATTGAAATTTAATGCCGGTAAGCGAAAATTTTTAGATAATTTTTCTCCTCGCAAACACCATAGAGAGTTCGATTTTTTGCGGTAGAAATGCGTATCTATTAGTTCGATGCTACAATCCATTCAATAGTGATTGCATGAATTGCGTTTGCAAATCTCAATATATATTGCTGAACAATCAATGTGTCGATGAAGATAGAGCTTCTGTAAGTTCTTTTTTACGCGAAAGTCAAGTAAAATATCTCCATGATTTACGCGATTTTCTCACAAATTCCATCATAAGTTAGTTGAAAATAAAATAATCTTCCTAATACCTATTGCTTAAGAGAATATTTTCTATGAATATTTCCTCGATTTCGATATTTTCATTAACGAAAAAGAATTGCTTCGTAGATAATTCAACAAAAAACGCTCGCTCGTATGAAGAAAAAGATGGATCAACAAATAAAACTGAATAAAACGATGCATGCAAAAAGTCCAATAATTGTCCAAAATACATTTTGTCCAAATAATACCAAAGAAAAAAATATGTATTGCGCATTTCTTTCACCTTCTGTCGAAAATTGTTTTCGTATTTGTGAATGTGAAAATGGATTTTATCGGATTGAAAACGAATGTACGGAAGAATGATTTATCTAATTTTTCATAATAATATTTATTATAATATTTATATTATAATTTATATTTTTATATTTATTATGATATATTTATAATATTTTATATTAATATATTTATAATATTTATTATTTCATTAAACAAGAAAATTAAATTAATAAAAAGGAGTTATTTTTTCTTTACCTATAGATTTTTTGCATAGTTGAATTTTTCATGTGTTTATCTATTGTCATGAAATAAATCTCAGTAAATCCAAAATTACGCAGTTCATTCATATTTTCTATTAGATTTTCTCAAAAGACAAATAGCAAATGCTCAAACCGATGCGATAAAATCTACTGCTACTGTTACCTTCTCAGATGTTTTCTTCTATTATTTTTTATTGAGGATGGAATGGTTCAGTGAAAAATTTATAAATAATTATATATATACAATTATAATTTGAACGGTGATCTTCAAATATACATAAATATAAACATTTATATATGCATTTTTTTTTTAAGAGCCCTTACCATTACTGGTTAAACTCGCCCCTCTGGCCTATCGCACTGGATATATATGCCAGGCAGATCACTTGATGATAGAAATACAGATGAGTCACCAATATCACCCGGATT